CTAATTATAATATTGAGCCTGCAATAACTTTATGGAATTCCCTCTATGAAATTATTGAGTTCATGTGTTTTCAGTTAAGGGTACTGTTAATGCTACAACAACACCCAAAGACATTTTAGACAACTTGCAATAGTACGGGGAAGGCCATTTGTAGCATGATCATGCCCCTGTGGACAAAGTCAATAAAGACATGGCTTGACAAGTTTAGTATGGAGGAACTCAAATGGCCTGCCCATCACTAGATACTAGATTGCTTTGCAGGAGAAGTACTTCCCTTCTGTCTTTTAGGGGGAAGTCAGGCATGGCAGCCAAGTGTCCTCAGCCATGGACTTGAGGTGCTATTATGGGGTAGCCAGTGTCTTTTTTTTCTCTCGAAATTTTGGTAGCCATCTTAGACTCAGAGGCTTTATAAAGCCTCTGTTCAGCCTAGGAACCTGCAGTGTGGGAGTAGGTAGGGAGAGGGACCTGTCTTGTCCAGGACAGTTAGAATTAGTTTAGGGAAGTGGGGAGGAGTCCCTTGTCATCTTGGCAGGTTGCTTACAAATGTGTATTATTTAACAATCCAAAGCATTTTGAGGCTGCATTGTGTAAGGGGAAGGTCCATTCTTAGCTTGAATCCCTTTACACTAACAGCATAGTTTTTAGAAACTCTTCCAGGGTGGCTCCCAGCTCTTTGTCCTTAGTTGTTACATCGAACACTGTTGTGCCAACATTATCATCCCAAAAAACAAAGGCCTTGTTACCACTTTGTATGAAGAACTGTTGCATGCCTTTACTGAAAATTCTTTCTTTGACATGTTAGTGATGTGGGAACTGTTTGAAAAAAAATCATATGACTGTTTTGCAGGACATGTTTTGAAAGAAAAGACTATGGGAGACCTCCTGACCTTACAAACATGATAACACAGCCTAGGCTCAGGTGTTGGGCATATGGTGCACCATGTGGCCCATTGATTTGTTGGTGAGCCTTTTGTACTCTCGGGATGTCTCTGCAGAGAAGCAGGAGAATATAGGCGTTTTTGTCAAGAGCTGGTATGTGGTCAGCTCTGATAAGCAGCTGCAGTATTTCCATACTTCCATTCAGTGGAGCTGCTACAAGACCCAAGGCAGGGTTCTCAATCTGAACAGCTTTAAGTCTTTTGATACATAAAGCATGTTGATAAGCAGATTTAGTTTTTCTGTAGCTGTGACATCTAATTCACTGATTGCGGATTTGAAGGTGGATTTCCAGTTAATGTAGTTTTCAGACATGATACCAAACTTAATGAGACTTGTCTTGGTAAGCTCTGTGCTAAGAATGTATATTGCAAACTGACTTCTCTTAGATTTCAGTATTTGGATGCACAGCTGCTTATGGAAGAAATTTAGTTAGATTAGCTGGTGCAAATTGAGTGACTTTGGGAGGTATGGGGGTGTAAAGGCAATCATACCCGACCTCGGCTTGGAGTTGATTGCTGTATTGGGTTGCAGTTGTGGAGCAGTTTACTTGGTAGCAGGTAAATGACTATTGTCTACATACCAATGTCCACAGTTTGCTCAGGTGCAAAAGCCTGGTGTACTGGTAGAAGAGTAGACAGATTATCTTGAGAGGCAGTAGGTGCAGTGGATTGAGATAGAAGGCTGCTATGACGGGGAGCTGAAGTCTTGGAGGAGTATAGGAGGAATATGATGCATGCGATGCAACAGAGTATCTGCTGTTACCACCTGAACTTTCACTAGAAATTTTCTCTAAAACCTTTAACCTTGCCATGGCTGTGGCAAGCTCACATTGTTTCTTTAAAGCAGGGGTATTGAATTAAAATTCAAGGAGATCCGGTCACTAAAATTTTCTTCTGGCTGAGGTCTGAATAGGGTGTGCCCCCTTACATTACGTGCCGCCATCAAAGTGCAACTTTATATCATGTATTCCCATAACATCCGGTGTATCCATCAGAGTGCTCCTTTATATCAGTTGTCCCCATCAGAGTGCCCCTTTACATCAGGTACCCCCATCACATTGCCCGTTTAAATCATATTCCCCATCAGAGTGCCCCTTTCCACAGTATGTGCCCATCTGAGCCCCTTAACATAAAATGGGCCATCAGAGAGCCCCTTAATAAAATGTGCTCATCAGAGTGCCCCTTAACATAAAATGTGCCCATCTCAGTGCCCCTTAAGATAAAATAAGGGCATGCTGATGAACACATTTTATGTTAGGGGGCACTCTGATGGGCATATTAATATTAAGGGGCACTCTGATGGATACATTTTATGTTAAGGTGCACTCTGATGGGCACATTCCATGTTGTGCCCATCAGAGTGCCCCTTAACATAAAATGTGCCCATCAGAATGCCCCTTAACATAAAATAAGTGGCACGCTGATGGGAACATTTAATATTAAGGGGCACTCTGATGGGCACGTGTTATGTTACGGGCACTCTAAAGGGCACATTCTATGTTGTGCCCATCAGAGTGCCCCTTAACATTCAATATGCCCATCAGAGTGCCCCTGTAAGACTATACCCTACCTTGAGGGAAGACAGGAGCCTGCCAGGATCCTTGCTGGACACTTGTGTACAGGCAGGGAGGAGAAGTCGGAGAGACGGTGAGCTGAAAGGGGCGGGGCGCACACGTGATGTCATGTTGCCGTGACGACTGCCCTGCTCAGCGGCGGATCTGTCATTGTGGGCTAGCAGGCTGGCGCCATTTAGTGACCGCTGCTCTACAGCTTCCATCTCTGCTCCTTTGCATGCAGCTTCTACTTCCATCTCTGCTTTCTTGTGTGAAGCTTCTGCTTCCATCTCTGCTCTCTTCTGTGCAGCTTCTGCTTCCATCTTAATACGTTGTTGGCTGAGACTGGAAGTGTTAGAGATTCTGTATATAGTCCTACAAAACAGACATTGCACAGTCCACATGTGTTTATCTGCTGCTTCTGTGCAAACAAGAAAACAGGAAATTTATTTTAGAGAAATTAGATGTAGGTACAAATTTATAAACATTGCCATCTACTGGTTGGAGAATATATCTCTACTAAATGCGGAAGTAGTTGTACAAAAATACATGAATATTGCATTCCAACAACTCCACTCAACAACTACTCCTTATACAGTATAAGACCCATTTCAGGTCTCAGTTCTGTTCCACTTTTGTTTCTGATTTTGGTTGATTTAATGATTGAAACCTCGTGACCTGGTTTCTTCTTTTTACAGTATTTGGATTGTTCACGTTAATTTCTATTTCTGTGTCACTTTCTTGCTTATCCTCATGTGACGCGTATGTGAAATTTCACTCAGTTTAAAGCGTTTGTGTTAGTTCATGAAATTTTTAACACATTGAAGTTTCCTTGACAATTACACTTCTACTGATGGTTACCTTGTTTGTATCTTGGTGTAGAATTCTGTATCTCTTTTTGAGATTCACTGTGTACCACAAGTACACTTTCCTTTGTATGTGCATCCCATTTTGTTTGTTTTACTTCTGGGATGTGCACATAGGCTTTGCTTCCAAAAAAATTATATGACATATTTAACAGATATAGTGTAGTATACCTGGAGTAATCATCTATAAAAGTAAGAAAATACCTCTTCTTTCCTGATTCAATTACATTTTTTTCCATTGGACTCCAAAGATCTGAATGAATTAAGCCCATAGGTTTTTTAGCTCTGTTGTTACTCTGCTTTGAAAAGGCTTTTCTTGTCATTTTTCCTTTTATACAGCTGCTGCATCTTATTGTTTGATCACATGGACTAGTTTTTATTCCACTTGCATAATCATTCTCAGTTAATTCCATTATGTCAGGACTTCAGTGCCCACACTGTCTGTGCCATGTGTGAATGTTGTTTGAAAGTATTTCCTCCTTTTCAGTATTAACCACCTCATTGCAGTTCTGCTGATATAGTTCATCTGTAAATTTAGCCTTTGCAAGTGAGGTATCCCCATTTGTGATAGCACAGCTGTCATTTTGGAGGGTCACTACATTGCCTTGTTTTGTGAGCTTCTTCTCTGACAAAAGATTAGTTTCAAGAGCAGGGACATACAGGACATTTTTCAAAAATCTCTTTCTGGTGACACTCTGGGAAATATGACAGTAAAGAAAACCATGTTATATTCCTTCTGATTCCATTATTTATCCATTAGCTGTGTTGATTCTTTTCTGTTTTACTCTGGTCAAGGTGAATAAAGACATTTCTGAAATTTTTCATGTAACTCGTAGCTCCTGAATCAACACACCATGCCTGAAAAGATGAGGTGAAATTTGAATTGAAAAACATATTCATTATCTGAAGAAAAATCAGTTTCTTTCCTCAAACATTTGGCTTTTTGTAGTTTAGTTTGTTTTTGCATTCTAGCTTTCCATATTCTGCAATCTGCTTTTAAATGGCCTTGTTCCTTGCACACAAAGCATTCACGTGTTTCTTGTTGCATGTTACTGTTTTTATTCCTATTTTTTGTCTTTAACCTCTTGCCTACAGGGCACTTATACCCCCTTCCTGCCCAGGCCAATTTTTAGCTTTCAGCGCTGTCACACTTTGACAATTACATGGTCATGCAACACTGTACCCATATGAAATTTTTATCATTTTTTGAGACAGATAGAGCTTTTTTTTTGGTGGTATTTAATCATCTCTGGGTTTTTATTTTTTGCTAAACAAACAAAAAACAACTGAAATAGTTTTTTCTTAGTTTTTGTTATAAAATTTTGTAAATAAGTGATTTTTCTCCTTCACTGATGTGTGCTAATGAGGCTGCAGTGATAAGCACTGATAGGCTGCACTGATAGGTGGCACTGATGGGCACTGATGAGGTGGCACTGATGGGCATTGACAGGCATCCCTGTTGGGCACTGAAAGCAGCACTCATAAATGGTACTTATAGGCGGCACTGTTAGGTGGCACTGACTGGCACTGTTAGGTGGCATTGATAGGCAGCACTGGCAGGCACTGATAGGCAGCACTGATGCACACTGATAGGCGGCACTGACTGGCACTGATAGGCGGCACTGACTGGCACTGATAGGTGGCACTGATTGGCAGCACTGATGGGTGGCACTAACTCGCATTGATAGGTGGCACTGACTGGCACTGATAGGTGACATTGAAAGGCAGCTCAGATGGGCACTGATATGTGGCATTGATGTGCACTGGTAGGCACTGATATGTGGCACTGATGGGGACTGGCAGGTGACACTGATGGGCGCTGACAGCTGGCATTGATGGACACTGACAGGTGGCACTGCTGGGGTTACACTTATCATCAGGGCACACTGATCATCAGTGACCTGATGATCAATGTACATGTCCCCTCTGAGGGATGCCGATTACCAGCTCTCCACTCCTCACGAGCTGTCAGCATGACAGCTCGTGAGGAGAGAAATGCCGATAACCAGCATTTCCCTATTTACATGCGATCAGCTGTGATTGGACACAGCTGACCACATGACTGAGCCAACATCTTCGGCTCTTTCCGTTGATTGGTGATCCGACACAGCGCACAGCCGATTGCCGTGCTGCGTGTCCCTGGAGCCATGCATGCGCAGTTAGAGTGGGAGGATGTCTTATGACGTCCTCCCAGAACGAGAGAACTGCCGTGCGCCCGTCATTACCTTATATAGCGGGCGCGAGGCGGTTAAAGAAGACTCTATGACAAAAAACACCGTCACTATTAATGCTTTCTGTTTTACACCTATTTTCATCCACAAGCCTGCCCTTAACATATTCCAATGTCAGTTCATCATCTGGATGTGCATCAAGTGCTGTGACAAGATTTTTGTGACAACAGTTTCATAACTTTCTAGAAAACCACTAAAGCGGGCCATACATTTTCATAATCAATTTCCTTTAGACTTACCTTTAACTAGGTAGTGCAAGGGCCAGCCTGATTGCATACAAATTGAAAGTGTCTATGTTTGACTTCATATTATATAGCTTTAGTAAATCTAAAGGAAAATTATACAAGAAAATTGTATATTGTATGGCCAGCCTTAGGAATAGTGCTGTGACGTGAAAGTCTTTTATACCTCTCAGGCAGTCAGCCATTTCCAAGGTGTGCCTTATATAATCCTGCATTTCCTGGCCTTTCATCAGCTTGGTTTAGTATAGCTTTCTAATCAAATACAGTTTATTGCTGAGCTCTTTGGTGCACCTTTTGTAATTCTTCACACATTTCTTTAGCAGTTTCACGCTTACATATATCTATGATGTGATCATCTTCTATGCAAAGAGAGATTGTACTCTGAGCTTTTTGGTCTTTCTTTATCCACTCATCTGAAGGGTGTACTAGCCTGACTTAATGTATACATTTCCATGTACCTTGTCTTATTAGCAGCATTTTCATCTTGCATTTTCAAAACTGGTAGTTCTGGTTTGTCAGGTTTGCAAGTGAAAGCTTTGTTGCAGCTGTGTTACTGGCCATTTTCTTTTATTCTGTTGCATTCTTCTTTCCCTTGTTGCATCTTGTATGATGCACAAACAGACTTGAAGACAGTTCCGTTAGCCAAATACTGCAGTATTGCTGTTTAGAAAAAGTTGTCGATTCTGGAGAGTGTGGTATGTTGGGTGAAGACAGATTGTATGCATTTATTTTGATTTTCATGGAATAAAATATTTCATAGAATTTAACCACTTGCCCTCCAGAGGATTTACCCCCCTTCCTGATCAGGCAGGCCATTTTTTGTGATACTGCGCTGCGTTACTTTAACTGACAATTGTGCGGTCATGCAATGCTGCACCCAAATGAAATATACGTCCTTTTTTCCCACAAATAGAGCTTTCTTTCAGTGGTATTTGATCGCCTGTGCGTTTTTTTATTTTTTGTGACTGACAATTTTGAAATTAAAATAATATTTTTGACTATTTGCTATTAAACATGTCCAGTAAAAAAATTAAAAAAATCAAATTTCATCATAAATTTAGGCCAAAATGTATTTTGCTACATGTCTTTGCTAAAAACAAATCCCAATACGCGTAAACTAATTGGTTTACGTGAAAGTTATAGCGTCTATAAATGGTGGTATAGATACTGGAATTTTGGGGGGTTTTTTACTAGTAAGGGGGTCGATCTGCGACTTATAGTGGGACTGTAACACTGGGGGGAACTGACTAGGTGTCACTGACATCCCCCAGTGACACCAACACAGTTATCAGTGCTAATAAAAAAAGACAGACACTGTACTAATAACAATTGGCAGGAAGGGGTTACCATGTGGGGCGATCAAAGGGTTTACTGTGTGCATTTTTTTTACTATGTGTGCTTTGTGTGTCTTTCACTGTAAGCACACTGCTTTGTATGGCTCTGCTCTGCACAGTTATACAAAGCACTGTGCAGGAGCTGACAGAGGAGAGATCTGTATTGTTTATATACAGGTCTCTCCCCATCGGTAATACTCTGAGATCGCCGGGTGCCGGCTGGGAATCACTGGCTGGGACCCGGGTGTTTGACAGCCGAGGCCACGAATGGTGAGCGCCCCCTACATGGAACTGCAAAATCACATATACATATATATATATACGTGATTTTGCGCACCCGTGCCGCCCTGTAGCAGTATTTCTGCTATAAGGCGGTGCGGAAGTGGTTAAGATGGAGAGTGACTCTTTTCAGCACTTTTGTGGAAACGGACATGGGCTACAGAAGCCAACACCCTAACAGCTCTTACATGATGAGCAGAGGTGTCACGTACCTGGTTGCACCTGAGCTGATGAGAGGGCTTTCCCTTACACCTCCTGTCCTGTTTTCCATGGAGTTGCTGACAGGATATAATAGGACACAGAGTGGCATTGGTGTCTTGTAGGTGACCCTGGCCAGAAAATACTGAAGCAGGTGCAAAATAGCTGGCATGCTGGTGAACTGGTAGATACAGAAGGCACTGTAGCAGGTGCAGAATAGCGGGCAGTAGGCAAGCTTGTGAGCAGGCATATGCAGGATCTCGGGAGGTCAGGCAGGCAGAAGTAACTGGGCAGCAGGAGTACACAATAGAGAACCAGAGCTTGGTGTGATTGGCTTGTTGGCATGTACAGAAGTAACTGGGCAGCAGGAGTACACAATAGAGAACCAGAGCGGAGTCAGAGCAAGGTCAAGGTCAGTATCAGGTGAGCAGAGAAGCTACCGGAAGAACAGGCAGAAGGCAGAGTCAGACAACAAGCTTAACTCAACAACAGAGTATCAGGAACAAGCTGGGTCAAACAGGAGTTTAATAGCCTGGATCACCCACTGGAGTCAAAAAGGCTGGATCAAACACGGGAGTCAAACAGGCTGGATCAAACACGCTAGTCAAACAGGCTGGATCAAACACGGGAGTCAAACAGGCTGGATCAAACACGGGAGTCAAACAGGCTGGATCAAACACGGGAGTCAAACACGGGAGTCAAACAGGCTGGATCAAACACGGGAGTCAAACAGGCTGGATCAAACACGGGAGTCAAACAGGCTGGATCAAACACGGGAGTCAAACAGGCTGGATCAAACACGGGAGTCAAACAGGCTGGCTCAAACACGGGAGTCAAACAGGCTGGCTCAAACACGGGAGACAAACAGGCTGGCTCAAACACGGGAGACAAACAGGCTGGCTCAAACACGGGAGTCAAACAAACTGGCTCAAACACGGGAGTCAAACAGGCTGGCTCAAACACGGGAGTCAAACAGGTTGGCCCAAACACGGGAGTCAAACAGGTTGGCCCAAACACGGGAGTCAAACAGGCTGGCTCAAACACGGGAGTCAAACAGGCTGGCTCAAACACGGGAGTCAAACAGGCTGGCTCAAACACGGGAGTCAAACAGGCTGGCTCAAACTCGGGAGTCAAACAGGCTGGCTCAAACACGGGAGTCAAACAGGCTGGCTCAAACACGGGAGTCAAACAGGCTGGATCAAACACGGGAGTCAAACAGGCTGGATCAAACAGGCTGGATCAAACATCGGAGTCAAACAGGTTGGATCAAACAGGCTGGATCAAACACGGGAGTCAAACAGGCTGGATCAAACAGGCTGGATCAAACATGGAGTCAAGCAGGCTGGATCAAACACGGGAGTCAAACAGGCTGGATCAAACACGCTAGTCAAACAGGCTGGATCAAACACGCTAGTCAAACAGGCTGGATCAAACACGGGAGTCAAACAGGCTGGATCAAACACGGGAGTCAAACAGGCTGGATCAAACACGGGAGTCAAACAGGCTGGATCAAACACGGGAGTCAAACAGGCTGGCTCAAACACGGGAGACAAACAGGCTGGCTCAAACACGGGAGACAAAACAGGGAGACTCAAACAAACACGGGAGACAAACAGGCTGGCTCAAACACGGGAGACAAACAGGCTGGCTCAAACACGGGAGACAAACAGGCTGGCTCAAACACGGGAGTCAAACAGGCTGGCTCAAACACGGGAGTCAAACAGGTTGGCCAAACACGGGAGTCAAACAGGCTGGCTCAAACACTGGAGTCAAACAGGCTGGCTCAAGCACGGGAGTCAAACAGGCTGGCTCAAACACGGGAGTCAAACAGGCTGGCTCAAACTCGGGAGTCAAACAGGCTGGCTCAAACACGGGAGTCAAACAGGCTGGGAGTCAAACAGGCGGGAGTCAAACAGGCTGGATCAAACACGGGAGTCAAACAGGCTGGATCAAACAGGCTGGATCAAACATCGGAGTCAAACAGGTTGGATCAAACAGGCTGGATCAAACACGGGAGTCAAACAGGCTGGATCAAACAGGCTGGATCAAACATGGGAGTCAAGCAGGCTGGATCAAACACGGGAGTCAAACAGGCTGGATCAAACACGGGAGTCAAACAGGCTGGATCAAACACGGGAGTCAAACAGGCTGGATCAAACACGGGAGTCAAACAGGCTGGATCAAACACAAACAGGCTGGAGTCAAACAGTCAAACAGGCTGGATCAAACACAGGAGTGAGCACATAATCAAGTCACAGGCAGCAGGAGCTGACAACCACTCAGCAATCCTGATCTGTAATGCAGCTTTACCTCTTGGCGCCGGCCAAACGCAAATGTGCGGCCTCCTGACATCTGGGCCTTGATGCCGAGCGGCCGCACATTTGCGTTCTATTAAAAAAAAACCATGTGCTGAGAGTGCACGCCCTGCACACTCCCAGCACACGCGTTCGGTACTCACGGAGAGGTCCCAATCTCCTCTTTCATGTGACCACCGTGACAGCGAATCACGTGACCCTAAAACCCAGCTCCACCTCCCAAAACCCTTAAAGGGCCGGGAGACGCCGGCGCCAAGGGGTTAAATAGGCAAATGGGCACCAAAACAGTCATGCTTGCTCGTACTAATGCGCATGAGCATACTGACCATGCTAACGTGCGTGCGCACATGCATGAGTTGGGGCACATCCAGTTCTTATTTTAGGAGTACAAGTTGTATTATGCACATGCGCATATCTTTGCTTACGGCCCCGCATACGATTTCCTTGACAAGGGGTAATTTGGAGT